AGATGAAATAACTTTTTTCAGTGTAATTCATTAAGTATTTATAAATTTTAGTATATTTTATGCGATCGTATTCAAAATGGTAATTTGTATTGAAATTAATGCTAAATTTAAGTTAATTTAAGTTTTATTCTTGAAATTTTTTTTTTAAATTCATATTTGTCATTGGATTTTGATTTAAAAAAAAATTTTTTAAAACAATTTTTTCTTTTTTTTTTTTGTTTTTCGAAAACGAATGAAAACAAAAAAAAAAAAAAACGAAAAAATAATTTATGTATCGAAAGTTTTTTTTCTTTTAAAAATATTTTCACTTGGGAATGATGTTTATAAATAGTGTGTTAACATTTATTTCCACAAATTAATTTCATTAGGAAGAATTATTATAAATTTTAAAGTTTTAAAAGTTTTAATTCAAGCAAAATAAGCGTATACTCTTGACTTTCAGGCACAAGATCACCAAATCCAATTGTCGTAAGCGAAACAAAACCTGAAAAAGACAAAGGAAATAAATCAAACTTTGCTTTTTTGTTCAAATTAGCATAATTTTTAAAACTTAATAATTCCGTTTATGTTATTAGCAAAAATGTGAGTTGTATAGAATGCGCTAAAATATATAAAAATGTATTTAATCATTTCTTTAGAATGAATAGTGGTGGTAATCAATTATTCAAATTACTATCAATTATATGTTAAACTCTGATAGCAAAACGGAAATCAATAATTGGAAATCAATAAATTTTGTAAAAATGAAATTTTAGATAACAAACAATAAAATTTACACTTACAAAAATAAAATGCGTCCGTATAAGTCCATGGTTCAAAGAAAGCAAATAGAAGACCACCAAAGGCAATATAAAACTAAAAATGAATTGATAACAAATAAAAGGTGATAATATTTACAATAGCAGTGATAACAATTTTAGTACAATGATAATCATTTGTTAATTTTTAATTTTAAATTAAATGTCCAATAATTACAAGCAAACATTTATTAAATATATATATTTTAATGTTATATAATTGCAATTTCGATTCAAACATTAAATGCTGATAGTTTTTTGTTGTCCGAAGCATTTTTAATTGACATTTTATGCAATCTTTAATTTTCAACTTTTCTTCTCCAATGGGTTTTTATCAAATTTAATCATAATAAAATGAGAAATTAGTAATTTCGAAAATTGGAAAAATAAGATCAAATGACCAATTATCAATATCTAGTATCAATCGATATTAGGCAACTTTTTTTTTTTTGCAAAAATTTGATATACGATTATCGTAAGAGTACTTATGGAAGAAGTTGAAAGAAAACATATACTACAAAAACAAACTCACAAGTAGATTCTAAATTATTCCTCTAGAAATGCTTCAAAAAAAAAAATGAAACCGTATTCTAATGACTAAGAGAACGGTAAAATATCCAATAACGATAAGTTAAGAAATACAGCAATACTGTCTACGAGTTACGGTAAGTATCGCATATGCATCGAAATAATTAGCAAACTGTTATTTTAATTTATGGTTTTATTTTCGACATAATTTAATTTTGTCATCTTTCCAATTTAATAATTCCCTTACTAGATTTTTTCCGGTGAATGCAATTCCGGTTTGCTCTGGAAACAAAAGTGGAAGAAAAAAAAAGAATCCTAACAATTTGAAATGACTTAATATTTCAATATAACCTGAAATTGTGATAAGATGGAGTTTTGAAAAACTAACAAGAAGTATAGCAAAAACTAAGACCAAAGGCACTTCTGTTTTGTCCAATGCAAGATCATCCCAATTTATCAACTGCTTCGCTGCTTCTTCATTCGATTTCTCCGGTGACCTCAATTCTGGATCACCTGAAAAAGATGAAAGAAAAAGGAAAAGAATAAATAATTTTATAGCTCTAATAAATAATTGGATAAACTGAATATGTTCAAGTTGTTATCAATCATTGTTGGTCAATTACTTAGGACAAATTCTCGAAATACCATTATTGATCATTTTATTACCGGTAAAATTGATATATTATAATAAGATAATAAATGATATGCAAATGTAATTTATGTGTGATTGCAAATGATCTATGATATGGTATGTTATCACAGATTAGATCACTTGAAAATATTTCATGCTAATTACAATTTATGCATAGACACTGTGATAATGACTGTAATCAAATTTTAAATTAGCTATACCAAAAGCTTTTAGAATAATGAATGAAAGGAAAAAAAAAACAAATGGCGTAGGGTTGATAGAAAGAGCTTAAGAGAAATATTTTGTTCTTGCTTTTTTTTTTTTTTA